GGATGGGAGGAGGACTGGGAAATGCTCTTACAGACACGAGACGGCCACTGTACCCATGAACTCACCAGAGCTATTATTACCCACACAAGGTCAAATCAGCAAGATCGGTCAATATTCCAACAGGCTAGGTGGATTATTAACAAAAAAGGGGAAGAACACGAAGCGGGGAGAGGAATGTACTAGAGGTGCCTACAGGGAATGGGAGGCAGGAGTTGGGGGTTCTTGGGGGAACAGGGAGTCCATGTGATCAAGATGTACTGTTTACATGAATGAAATTGTCAAAGAATAATTAAAGATATGTATGTATATTTGTATTTTCGAGACTGGATCATACTATGTAGCTCTGGCTGTCCTGAAACTCATTATGTAGACCAGGCTGGCCTTGGCTAATTCACAAAGATCCACCTTCCTCTGCCTCTCAAGTGCTGGAATTAAAGGTGTGTGTGACTATTACATCTGGTTAAAGATATTAAAAAGTAAAATAATGGATAGGCAAGATGGTTCAGTGGTAACGGTGCTTGCCACCCAGCCTGCCAGCCTTCGGTTAATCCTCGGGACCTGGCACTGACTCCTGTAAGTTGTCCTCTGGCCTCTAAGGTGGAGAGCCATCGAGGAAGACTCCCAATGTCAACCTTACCTCCATATGCATTCACACACACACACACACACACACACACACACACACACACACACACGGACACGGACACGGACACACACAGACACACGGACACATGGACACACGGACACGGACACACACATGAACAATCTGAAAACACACTACACAAAGCATTTTACTCAGTATTTAGCAAAAATGCATCAAGAATACTAATAGTAGGGGCCTGGAGAGATGTCTCAGTGGTTAAGAACACTGGCTGCTCTTCCAAAGGACATAGGTTTGATTCCCAGCACCCACATGGCAGCTCACAACTGTAACTCCAGTTCCAGGGGACCTAACACCCTCTTCTGGTCTCCCTTGGTACCAGGCACACACGTGGTGTGCAGATATACATGCATGAAGAAGAACACCCATACACATAAGTTAGTATTTCTTAAAAAGAATGCTAATAGCGGTAAATTAATAAAAAATAAATTGAAGTATGTCCCGGACATTGCCACAAGACACAGACTAAAAGGAGTTGAAATGGGTAAAGGGTCAAGGAAAGAGAAAAAAAAAAGATGACAGTCATCTGTATCCCAAGTTCGGTCCCCAAATTTGAGCAAGAGAAAGAAAACAAAGTTCCAGTGAGTGGTGAGCATGTGTACAGGAGGCTGGGGCTGGTTATAAACAGGGGCAAGAGTTGAGGGACTTGTTCAGGGCAGTGAGGAGTCACTGTAGGCTGAACATGATGGGGACATCTCCAGGTTTGTGCTCTCAGAGATGCGTCTGGCACCAAAGCACAAAGCAATCAATTTATTGAAACCATTTCATCCAGTTTAAGGAGCAAGGCCAACGGTAGCACCATAATGGCCAGATCTGAGAGATTCTTGCCACCCTCCCACCATACTCCCCTGAGCACCCCCTCCCACCCCCACATACACAGATCTAAGGACAAAGGAGATGTAGGAGGAGAGGGTGCCACAGGTCACATTACAGGTTTACATCTGATAACAGCCAGGTCATCCCAAGACTGAGGATGTAGGTCAGTGTGAGCACGTTCCAGTACAAGGTCCTGGCTTCCTTCCCCAGGGAAGAAGAGGAAGAAGGCGGAAAAGAAACACACGCCTCTGCTCGGCTAGTCCCCAGCACCCCCACAGACACCGGGGCCAGGATTAGGGAATGGTTACAATCCTGTACTATTTCCTCTTGCCTTTGCTACGGGATGACCAGCTTCCGCCTTGACCTGATCCTTCAAATCTCACCTCTGTCACTAAATCTCCAGTGTGGAAAATTGGGCTGCCCTGAAATGTACCATTTCCACCCTAAAATTTTTCTGCTTCCACAGAAAACAGAAGGGCGGGCAGATGGGGAGATGGAAACATAGTCAGGCGGGAAAATTGGGACAGCTGGGCTGGACTCTCTCCCCTGTGTAGGACAGAGGCCTTTGGGGCAAGCAAGACAGTAGAAGACAGCCTGGCGGGGTGCACATCTTTAATCCCAGCACTTGGGAGGCAGAGGCAGCAGATCTCTGAGTGCAAGGCCAGCCTGGTCTATGTAGTGTGTTCTAGGATGGCCAGAGCTACATAGTGAGACCCTGTCTCTAACCCCCCACACCCCCAAAACAACAAAAAGATAGTTGAAGAGAAGAAAGCACATTAGGACACAGACCAGTCTTCCAGTCCAGGAGTACATATTCAGCCAGGTTTATTTTCATTTTTTTATGAGTATGAATGTTTTATCTGCATGTCTATATATGCACCACATATGTGTTTGGTGCCCACAGAGGTCAATAAAAGGCATCAGATCCCCTGGAACTGAAGTTATAGATGGTTTTCAACCGCCATGTGGGTGCTGGGAACTGAACCCAGGTCCTCTGCAAGAGCAGCCAGTGCTCTTATCCACTGAGCAGATCCTGTAGCCACCTACTGCTTTTTAAGATGGTGGCTAAAAGGTAGGCAGGAGAGGCCAGCTCTGCCTAGGGCTCTGAAAGAGCACTCTGTGTATCCAACACCTGCTGTGGGCTGTCACACACCCTGCTTGCAGACTCAACCTCTTGAGGCCCGACCTTTTGAATCATATGACCCACCTCCCCTAAGTCAGTGGTTCCCAACGCAGCAACCCTTAATACAGTTCCTCATGTTGTGACCCCCAACCATAGAATTATTTTCATTGCTACTTCATAATTATAATTTTGCTACTGTTTCGAATCATAATGTAAACATCTGTTTTCTGATCTTAGGTGACCTCTAGGAAAGGGTCCTTTGACTCCCCTGGGTTGAGAACCACTGCTCTAAGTCTTCAGGGGCTGGCAAGGTACTTGGTATTATTCTCTGTAGCTTCTACTCCTTGAACACAGTAACCGTGTGAAACCCGTCCGTTAAAGGACACAGTACTCATCTTTGCCAGGAATGGGACAGGGCCTCCTGCCCTAGAAGCCTTAACAGCCCACAGCCAAGACTCCACTTCAGATTATTTTCTGGATAAAAAGGCTTTTAACTAACTTCATCTCCCTGGAATCAGTCATACAATTTTTTTTCAAGATAGGGTTTCTCTGTTTAGCTGTGGCTATCCTGGAACTTGCTTTGTAGGCCAGGATGGCCTCAAACTCACTGCAACCCACCTGCCTCTGCCTATCGAGTGCTGGAATCAAAGTCGTGTGCCACCTTGGCCACAATTTTTTTTTTTTT